CCGTGGTATTTTGGGTTCCCCACACACACACACACACACACACGCGCGCGCACACACACACACCCTCGCACGTACGTACGTACACACACCCAGACACGGACAAGGACACAGAGACACATGCACACATACAGAGCTGTTCGCAGAAAGACGTAAGCACTGAAAAACAGACTCGCAGGCCTGGGGTGTGAACTGAGACAGCTGCGGCCTGGGTGAAGTGCATCCGCCCATCGCAGCTGGGATAACACCAGGGTGAGTCGCGATGAGGTTCCGGCGCCATGGCCTTGGCGACCTGCGTGAGCAGCTTCACCTTCCACATTGCAACTGGCCTTCCAACTTCAACCACAGCCCAAGCTGGGAGCGCCACATCCCTCTGTTGGAGCCGAGAGCAGGAGTTCACAAGGAGGCACAATGACCTGCCGCTCAGGAAGCTCTGCGTGGCCCTAGGCCAGTCTGCCGAGGATCTCGCTGGGCTTGAAACTCTGAGATCTTCTGGCTGACGTTCTGCAGAATGCCCTTGCACATAAAGCACTGAACTTGAACTAAACACAAGGCGGGCAAGCTGGCCTCTGTCAGATCCGGGGATCGCAAGGGTTTCCATCTGCCAGCATTCATGAAGTGCTACCCGATTCGAACATTCTCATGGGCATTTGCCTGGCGCAGGCATGAAGAAGTTGCATTAAGCTGGGCGGACCAAGAGAGTCCAACCTGCGGTAAAGCACTGAGCACCGGATGCTGAAAGGGTCGTCCTGAGGAGCCGGCCCAGTTGAAACTTGCTTCGACAGTACGGCAACGGCGCGCACAGCCTGAACGCTCAGACACTACTGGACACTGGCCATCCACCAATGTCTGGGCCGTCTTTCCCCAGGTCCACGATACGCAAGGCTGGTCACGAATGCTGTTTCTTGCAACCCTGGGAAGGATGCCTGAAGAGACACTTTCAGCGGCAAGTCGCAGCCCGTTTCAAGACAGGTGGGAAGTGAAGATGCTTGTTTCTGTTGCTTTGGACTGCTCTCGGTACATACCAACTGACCAATGTAAACTGAACCATTCTGTCTCTGCTAGATCATCACTCCGGTGGCCCCAGATCACGTCCGTGCCTGTCCGCTGTCTTGTAATCGGAAATGCTTACATGCAGAATGTTGGCACCCGGTTAGTTTGTCAGCCCACCCGATTAGACCGGCCCGCTTGCATGTAAAGCTTCCCAGAAAAGCATGTGACATCATGGTGAAATGACGGCCGTTGCCGACTGGCATGTCGTGTCTCAAATGGACGAACCTAGCCGAAATTCTGCCCGCAAAAAGGGTCTTTGCTCTTGTTTTTGGTTTCGCCGAAATGTGTTTTTCATGGCAGGCACCCGCAAGCCTGAAAAGTAGCAAAAAGGAAAGGAGGGGATAGCAGCAGACCCTGAAAGGAGATAAAAGGAGTGGGCTGTGCGAAGGGTAACGCGAAGAACAAAAGTGGGCTGTGCGAAAGGCCAAACTCCCAGAAGGAGCGACTATTGAATTCAGCGGTGCGAAAACCAAGAACCTACTGGGAGTAGCTGGTGCGAAGATTCAAAGCCCTGAACTGAGTGGGTGAGTACCACGACCCAAACCCTAAACGGCGTGGACGTTTGCAAAAGCCCCTGACTCCAAAGCGAGTGTGCGAAAAGGAAAGGCAGCACGAAGACCCAAAAACCTGTCCGGAGTGGGTCGTCTGAAAGCCGAATCATCATCGGAGCGACTAATCCCAGAAAGCCCCAAGCCTACACCCCAAACCCTCAACATTACGTGAAACACCGCATCACAAACCCCACCTGCACTGCAGGCACTTGGAGGCAACCGACTATGTCTCCTAAGTAAGATACCTGGGTGATACTTGGGCTGTACATGAATGGCTAGAAGTACCCCGAACCCTAACCCCCTAAACCCCAAACCCTAAAACCCGAAACCCAAAGGCAGGTGAGGAAACGCAGGCGCCTAAAGAAGGGAAGAGCCCCAGTCCGCCACTCTGTAAGATATGCCGCAGCCGTTTTAGGGTTTAGGGTCTAGGATTTGATTGTGGGCTTCTGCTGCCTGCTTTCACTGTAAGCAGCCTTGTTGCGGCCGTTGTTGCCGTTGGTGCTGGTATTACTACATAGTCAATACTGGTAGTCCTCGTCGTCGTGGTAGTGGTGAATTGTGCGACGAGGAGGGGCAGCACGAAGACCCAAAACCCTAACAGGAGTGGGTCGTGCAAAAAGCTCAATTCCTAAAAGAAGCGACTAATTCCACCTAATTCCAGAACAACCCTCACCCTGAACGAAGACTCTGCTCTACTGGTTCGTTCTTCCGCTTACACTAGTCCGT